ATTGAATTTTTTCATAAAAAGTTTCACTCAAACCTTGGTTGGTTTTTTTTTGTGATGGCTGATTTAAGAGAACAATGTGCAGCTGTGAAATTTGTTTCCTGCTAAGGAAAAATTCCGCATAAACTGTTGTGATGTTGAGCACAGCTTACAAGGACAGTGCTTTGGGATAAACAAGTGTATGAATGGTTTTCTTGTTTCAAAAAAAGGTGAAATGTCGATTGATGACAAACCTCATTCTGGATGTCTGTCAACTTCTTGAATGGACAAAAATGACTTGTAGTGCATTTGGAGTTCATTCCACTAGCTCAGACTATTAATCAAGCTTTCTATGTAAAGGTTCTGAAAAGACCGCATAACAGTGTGCAACAAATAAGGCTTGATTTGTGGCAGACGGAGGACTGGCTTTGCCACCAAGATAATGCACCTGCTCCCACAGCCATCTCAGTGTGCCACTTTTGGGCAAAAAAACAGCATGCCTCTCTTGTCCCATGCACCTTACTCACCTGACCTTGGCTCCATGTGACTTCTTTTTGTTTCCACGAATGAAGAGGGACATGGAAGGACAGCAATTTGACAATGTAGAAGAAGTGAAGAAAAAAATGAGGAAGGTGCTGTCAGCCATCCAAACAGATGAGTTTGAAAAATGTTTCCAAGAATGGAATCACAGATTTAACAAATATATTAAATGTAATGGGGATTATTTGAAGGTGATAAGGTTGTTTTGTAAAAAAAATTTAAATACATAGCTTTGGGGAAAAAATAAAATAAAAATTCCATTTCTTTTTTTGGGGGAGGGTACACCCTTGTACAAATGCCCGAGTAGTACATGAAAAGATATTCAACATTAGTAGGGAAATGCAGATCAAAGCTACTATGAGATACAACTTCATGCCCACTAACTAGTTAACACCCAAAGGACAGACTTGTCTTGATGAGGCTGTGTGGAAGCTGGAAATCTTTTACACAACTGGTGGGGCATGTAGGATGGTACAACCTCTGGAAAATGGTGGGGTAGATTCTCAGAAAGTTAAGCATAGAATTACCATATACCCAACAATTCCCTCCCTAAGTATATACAGCTTAAAATTGAAAACAGGTATTTAAACACTTGTATACGAATATCCCCACAGTACTATTCACAACAGCCAGAAGGTGAACTCAACTTAAATGTTTATCAACAAGTGAATAGCTAAAAAAAAGAAAGTTTTATCAAAAATTCAACCACCAAAAATCAAACTCTGAAGCGGATTGCCTCACCTTTCCCTTACAGAGCGTCTGGTAGGTTCAAATCCTTTGGATAGCTACCAGTACTTAACTCACTGTGCAACCAGGGCTTCTATAAAGTCCCTATGCTTCAGACATAACAAGGACTGATGTACTTCCTGCTGCAACGTAGATGAAATGTGCAAGCACTATGCTGAGTGCAAGAAGCCAGACACAGCAAGTCTCACACATGGTGTTGGCACTGATGAACTGCCTGGAGACAGAAAGCAGGTCAGGGGTATAGAGTTTCCTTTTGAGTGATAAAACCCTTTTAGAATGATATAAAGGTGATTGGTGCAAACAACAGTGGGCATGAACTAAGTATCATGAAATTGTATACTTTAAAATGGTTAACTTTATGAAAAAAGTTCTGGAGCCTGAGCTGTATTCTCCCCAGTCCTAAAGTCACTGGAGAGGTGATGATGGTGTCACTACACTGTGGGTGTACTCAATGCCACTCAACGGCACACTTGAAAAGATACTCATTAAAGCTATTACAGAGCGAAAAAATTTCCTAGAAAGTACACCAGAGAGACAGGCATGAATAAAGAAAGATGAGAAACAGGAATCATTCAGCAAGTTCAACGTCTGACTAAAAGGAAAATTTCATAAGAGAAAATAGAATAAATGGAGATGAGACCATTTTAAAACATGGTTAGGTGCTATTATGTTGGTTCGAACTTACAGTGACCACACACGACAGGGCAGAACTGCTCCCCAGCGTTTTCTAGGCTGTCGTCTCTACAGGAACAGATTTCCACGTCTTTCTCCCGCTGAACCACTGGGTGGGGGTTTGAACTATCAACCTTTCAGTTAGCCACAAGCACTTAACCGCTGTGCCACCAGGGCAAGGCTATTGTTAAAAAAAAGCCAGTGTTCAGTCTTCAGATAGAAATGGCTACTAACTACTAGCATAATAAACTAAAGAAAAGATCCCACTGCACAGTGTACCACTGAGATTCACAAGAGCGATACTGGGAAGATTCTAAAAGCTTCCAGACCAGGGGAAACCATAAGCATTGAGAATTGGAATGGCATCAAACTTTTTACCGAAAGCAATGGAATCCTTTCAGATTCTGAAAGTATTTTCAACTGAGAATTTCATATCCAGTCAAACTGAGGTCTGAATAAAGATAGACAAACTTCAAAAAAATGACACTTTAGGCATGGCTTCTTAGGAAGCTAAATGAAGGTGTGCCTCTGCAGGATGAGGGGCAAAAGCCAAGAAAGCAGAAGGCGTGTAGTCCACAGCAAAGTGGTCACAGGGTAAGGGGCAATGTGAGGGTCGCAGCGGGGGAGCAGGCCAGAGAGCCAGCCAGCAGATCAGTGCCGAGGACAGAGCAGAACAACTCACACCTGGGAGATTAGCAGGAGGGAGGGGGTGTGGGCAGCACAAACCAGGTTTTTGAAGGCTGCTCAGGAGGGGGCGCCCTGCAGCCACGCCTGCCTATCACTTTATTACCGCACAGAACAGCTGGGCAGTAGACAGCTTTCAGTGGCCATAAAGGGAAATGTTGCTTAAAAAGTTAGTTGGAATGTGAGCAGCAGTATATATGGAAAAAATGAGACAACTGTTCATTCTAGGAAAAACAAGATCTCTGAAAACATATGATTAGGCTCATTAATGAGCATTAGGTACCGTAGGTTGCTCAGAGTAAATGGAAATTTTGGTTGCTATTTAGCCAAAACCATGATGTGATGGGGGGGTGGGGGTGGAGCAGGGGAGGCCCATGGGGGTGCAATAGCGGCACTAAATCCTCATCTACTGTAATGAGAAATCAATATATAGAATGATGATTAATCTTAAAAGAAGCATAAGGTAATGATACTGTTTAAAAAGGCAAATGCCAAAATACACAGCGAGAAAGAGCTGAACCACGGAAAGGTTAAGGTTGGGCACTGGGCTGGGCATTTTCCTGTTAGAAGCCTTTCTGGAGTCTCTGAACCATGCCTTTGATATGATTTACTTCTGTTATTGATCACAACAGATCCCGACACACCAGTGGGTGACATCAAAGCTGGGAACTGACCCAGAGGACAGGGAAAGTGATGACGACTCTCAGTCATTGAAGCCCCACTCCCTCAGGTGTCCAGGGGGAGGGGGGGCAGCCTTGTTTGGACATGTGAAACCCTGCCTTCCCCAGGAGGTGCGCACCGGGAAGTGGGGCTTTGGTGGAACCAGGTCAGTGCAGGGTGTAGCTCCTGGGGCAATAACCTGGAGCTTCCCAGTGGCCTGCTTGCCCCTGCCCTTTGATCACCAGATGATCCAGGCTTCCTCCATATTCCTAGACCTTACACTAACTCCCCAGGAGAATTTTTAGAACTAGGCATTAACTGTCTTCTTCCAGACCCCGTTGAGCCCCTGGCAATATCCCTGGAGGTTGGCACAGAGACTCAATAAGGAGCTATTGGGGGCATTACTGTGGCGCTGCCTTCCTCTGTGCCAGCCACCACGGGCCACGTTCAATCTTGACAGCATTGACGAGGCTGAAGAGTAGCATTACCCTTACTTTACGGATGAGGAAACCGAAGCTTCGAGGAACTTAACCAAGGTCCCAAGAACCGGGATCCAAACCCAGGCGGCTGACATCAGCCTACAATGCGAAAACCAGCAGCTTTTTTGTAACTGTCTCTGGACCTATGAGACCCTCCAGTTCCGAGGCTGGAAGGTGGGGAGCTGTGTACCCCCCCTACCCTGGCGGCTACCCATGCAGCACCTACCTTCTTCAGAGAGGTTGTTCTCTTTGGTCTCCTTGTCCATCTGGCAACACCAGCCTTCCAGCCGTTCTGTCTCAGCCTGAAGCAGCTTCAAGAACCAGTAGCCATCTCGGCGGCAGGCCCCTGGCTGTGTTGGCTCTGCTGGGGTGCTGGAGGTCGTCTCGAGCCAGGGGTCGGGAGGGGGCAGCGAGGATGCCTCGAGGGCAGGGTCGCTGTTGTCTCCATAGGAGAGGTTGCGCTTGATCTGGGCAATCTTAGGGACCTGCCTGGGGCCAGCATCGATGCTGATGGAGTTGGGGTGCGGGGTGCAGTCCGGGAGGCTCCTCTCAGATGACTTGCAGCTGGAGTCGTTGGCGTCCTGGGTATCTGAGTCGGTGTCCCGTCGGGAGGACATGCTGTGGGAGGGGGCACTGCTTCTGTGGAAAGGGGTAGAACAGGGTTGGGGCGGGAAGGAGTGAGAGTCACCCCAACCCGGACACGCAAAGAGACAGAGAACGGATGCATTATCTGCTCACCATGCGCCTGAAGCGGGCCCCACAGCCCCGTCTCATTCTCTGTTCAGCCCTTGCCCCAACCCTCCCATGCCCACACCCGCGCGCACACGCACACACAGACATTGGTCATAAGGTTGGCTGTTTACTGCAGTGGGGCCAGGAAGACCACCAACACCAGGGTAGCTGGGGCCACATCTCAGCCCAGCCACGGCCCCCGTTGATGGAGCTCACGGAGCAAGTGCTCACCAGCTGGCCACCCGCCTGCCCCACCACCCGCACCTCAAACCCAGCTTGGTTAGAAGTCCAGCAAGGAGAAGTGGGTCAGGGAGAGCGGGAGAAGGCGCAGGAGGGGTGAGGGCAGCAGGAGGGCGAGGACGGGGAGAAGCAGCCACCACCTCTGTCCGACTTACCGCCAGTCGTCCTCTACCTGAACCCCGATGGACTGGAATTTGGTAGCGGGACTGGGCTCCTCTTTTGGCACTGGCTGAATGCAGTCAACCTTATTGAAGGACAACGACAGCAACGGCACGGGGACAGAGACAAAAATAAAAACAAACACCACACTTGCTGTTGAAATTCACATTAGTGGGACGACGCAAACAGACGCGTGGACAGACAGACAGACAGACAGACGTGAGGCATGCGGACACTGCACGTGGGCCCGAGACCGGACCAGGTTAAGCCGGGCACTGCTCATTCTCGCGGAGGCGGGCAGGTGGGCGGGCGGTGGGGTGGGGGAGATGACTGGCTTTCCCTACTCTGAGGAGGGTGCCATCACATCGAGCGCTTTGGGTCCGTTGTCCTCCGAGAGGTGGGAACCGCTCCTTCTAGTCCTCTCCTTTACGCGCGTCAGAGAAGAGAGAAAAGGACGACGACGAGAGAGAAAGAACACACATACACACACACATACAAAGCCACAGCCGTTATCCAGTGTAGTTGAAGCTGGGGGCTGTCTTGAGGCAAAGACCACCCCCTTCCCCTGTGGTTGAACGCCAGAGGCGCCGGAGGAAATGCATAAGGCTGGGCAGGCCGGCCTTGGACAGCAGCTCTAGATTTGAAAACCACCATCAGAACAATAGCTGGTCATGCCCGATGCTAAGGAATGCCATCCCTGGTCCCGAGCCTCAACTACACTTGGCTGAGAGGGCACCTTCAGACCCGGGTGAGCTGGGGGTGGGGGGTCGGGTGGGGCAGCAGGATGACCAGCTAGCTTTTTCTCTACCTTCATGGAAGTGGAAAGACACAGCAAGAGTGATGACCAAGCCTGCCTTTACACTGAGCCAAGTAGGTCTGGCCATGAAGTGTGCAGGCTTGCCTCCCCACAGCTGAACCAGAGAAATTCCCTCTTGGTCCAGGATCGAGGCACTGAGGAGCGGATGAATGCTGTCATCAGAAAGCGGGGACATTGACTGGGCTTCATGGACAGAAGTAGGAGCAGAGAGGATTCTGGGGCAGTGCAGCTGAGCTCCAGGGTCTTCCTTGCCTTCTCCGAGGAAGAGACTGCCTCCAAGGAGCTAGTGTGAGCATGGCTAGGGAGGGCCGGTGGGGATCCAGGGAAGGGAGGCCCAGATGGCCCTTATGCCCCCACTGTGGTTTTCTGTGCGGACAGAATCAGGAGTGCCTCTACTCTTTCAGGGTTAGATGGGACAATATGAGCATCTGGTCTGGAATTGGGGGTGGGGGTAGGGACTGGGAGAGCCACCTCAAACCAAGACCTTGGGTCAGGAACCAGGGTCAGAGATTGGGCCACTCTGTTCCTAAGAATCCCATCTGGAGACACTGTACAGGCCCTGGGCTGGATCCTTATGAAGTTCCTGCTGGATGGACCGGACGAGCCCAGAGCACAGTACCCACCAGGTCACATTTCTTTTTGTACTTCTGGGAGGGACTGGGCCTAGAGCTACCTCTTGGGGGTAGAAATCCAGGTGGTTGGCCCTCTGCTACTCTCCCTCCCCATGTTCCATTTAGTCCCCTCTGCACCCATGAGCCTTCCCTGGACTCAGTACACTGCTCTATCAATACACTGACCAAGCCCAACTGCTAGAGGTGGCAGGGAAATGGGGATCCTTGCCAGCCCCATGCCAAATGTACACTATCTTGTTCTCCTTGGTTGCCGCCCTGGGTGTGGGCTCTATCCCTGGTAAATGCTCACCCCATGGCAGCCACCCCTCGCTCACTACTGAGTTGCTCTACTTCAGTCTGCAGCATACAGCCGGGGCACTCCTGGGCTAGAGTAGGGAGAGGCCTCTCATTCCTAGTTTAGAGGAAATTTCCCTGCCCACCTGACAGAAGACCTGAGGCTCAAAAGATGTGCATGTGGGAGCGAAGCTGGCACACTGCCCACTGCCGGCCATGGCAGTGGGTGTGGTGAGCTGAGCGTGGCTTCCAGGAGGGTCTGCTAGCTTTGGCCACTTGGTCCTGGGGCACTATCTGCCCGGATCCTTCCCTGTGGAGGGAGGCATCGGTACCAGTGTCACACTTTAGTTTGGCCAGGGCCTGAGGCCTTGAGGCACCTACCTGTCCCCAAGGCCCTTGAGGGCTCTGGGCAAAGCTCCCCTTGAGCAACCCTCATGGCTCAAGGGCCCTGGGTCCTTAGCCCACCGGCGTCTATGATCCATGTGGCTCCCCGCCAAGTGGGGCTGTGGATTAGAGAACCATTAGGCCAGTCCCACTCTGCCGTGGGTCAACTGGCAGGACTAAGGGTGGACAGACAGACAGTGGACAGGCAAACAGGGGACAGGAAATGGCTGTCTGAGTGTAACTACATTCACTGGGACAATCTGGCGGGAGCAAGCGCCTGAGGCTGCAGGCTACCGCCCTCCATGTGACCACAGGAAGACATGGTGAGGGGTGGAATAAGTTTGGCCACTTGGGCTGACCTCTCCAAAACAGACCACCTTTTACCCAGGAGACCTAGTGGGCCCCGCCAGATGTAATTACACGCAGGCAGGTCCACGGGACAGAGCGAGGATGCAGTGCAAAAGGAGCCCCTACTTGTATTCCTATCGACGACAGTTTCCTTTTGGGGATGGCCTCAGCGTGGGACTCCGAGCTGGTCAGTGTCCCCTGGTCACTCTTCAGAGCAGCATGCTTTGGAGGCGGCTCAGGGGCCTCAGGGCCTGGGGCAACTCCACCCCGTGTGACACTGGGTGGTCGGGTGCTGCTGTCCAGGCTGTCCGATGAGTTGCTCAGGCCTGACTGGCTCGTCACCTCACTCTTGTGGTCCTGGCTGTCCAGGTAGGTGTCCTGAGCAGACTCCGTACTGCTCTGAACTGTGACCGAGATGAACGGCTTTGATGTGGTGCGTGGAGGAACTGGTGGTGGGGTCTTCTTATACGCCACTAAGCATGATGAACCTGCAGAGTGGTGAGAAGGAAGACAAGGGAAGGTGAGATTGGCTGTGCTCGCAGTCCCTTCTAGGTCTGAGATCCTACCTGACCTGGTCCGATTTCTAACCTTGACCATTCCCTCGGAGAGGAGTTTGGGCCCACGAGAACAAAGATCAGGCACAGCAGTGACCAAGACAGACAAAGATCCTGCCCAACCTCATCCAAGGCCAAATCTAGTGGACAACCTCCACCACACAGTCACACACAAAGATGGTACCCAGCCAGGACAGGACCTAACCTAAAGGCTCAAAGCAGCACTCCCTGAGGTCGTGGTGACACAGAGCAGAGGTCAAAAGCACAGTAAGGGATGAAGGCTAACCTTGCTTTCTTCAAGCTGAGAGACTCACTGCTTCCTCTTTCCCGGCCTCCCTGTTCTCTCTGCTTGGATGCCCTGTCTTTCTGCTCAAAGGCCAACATGTCCTTCAGGGCCCAGTTACCGACCCTTTCTTTGGCGACCCCTTCTCTGGCATGCTTGCCTTAAGAGCAGCCAGGACAGGCAGGGCCAACTCCTCCTCCTCCACCAAGCTTCAGGAACCACAACCTGCCACAAGTGGGCGCTGGGGTCCTCTGAATCCCATTCCCAGCCTGGCCTGGAACTGACCCACAGTAGGGGCACAGGCACTGAAGGCCCACTGCTTGCTTCTCAGATGCAGAGAACTTTTTGTTTGAAACACAGCGATTTTCAATCTAAAGTGGCTTATTGTGAAGGGCTGGATCAAGGCTTAATGTCTTTTCTTGCACCTTAACTCAAGTGCCCTTTCCTCAGGGAGGACTTGACTCACTCAAGCTTCTCATCTAGTCTAGCCCAGCCTAGGAGCTGGGGTCAGATACATAAGTTCAGGTCCTGCCTTCAAAGGGCTTCCAGTCAGAGAAGGTAGGGTGGTAAAGATGGCTCAATGGAAGCTCACAAAATGAAGCCCAGTACAGAGGTCATGGGACAGCAAAACCCACCCCACGTGCCACAATGAGTTATCACTCATGCACTACTCTTGGGAATGGGGCACCCACTCTTGAAACAGTAAAACTAAAGATGCAATTACTATCCGAGAAGACTTCAAAAAATTCATCGAAAAGATAGTGGGATCTTTTCAAACTTTGAGATGCCCCCTCATATAACCCAGTGATTTCAGTCATGGGAATTTATCCCAGAGAAATGATAACGTATCACAAAAATGCAGACATGTCGGCTTTGGACATCCTAGGGTTAAGGCCCAATGATGTGTTTCGTGCTTCTGTTTATCTCCCAGGTTGCAGTGCAGTGATTTCAGGTCTCACCTCCATGAACAACTACTGCCTTTGTCACGAGACCAGAACTGGTGGTGTCCAGTTACTGAATATTTTGATCAAAGAGACTATTGAAGAACCCCGATCAAAAGGGAGGAAAATACAGATCACAATGGCAAATTCTCAAGGGCTCCAGACTTTTTGGAGCCATGGAGGCTGGATAAATCCCTGAAGCTATTGCCCTGAGATCATCTTTAAACCTTGAACCAAAAATGACCCCTGAAGTCTTCTTTAAGAAAACTGACCACAGCACCTTGAAAGATTAGACTGGAAAGGTAGGGGACAGTGAGTTCATGTTCAACAGAAGGGAGACAGTTCAGAAGAGGAGTGTGACAATGATCACACAACTTGAAGAGAGGCCTTAGTATCACCGAATTGTACATGGACAAATGACAGAATGATCCACTGTGTCTATTTTCAAAATCAAAATGTCAATTTAAAAAATGATTAAGTGAATGTATGCACAGATAAGTCACAACGGCTGTGTCGTAGCTGAAACCTGGAGACCACCTACCTCACTGTCCTCCAGGTAGTGAACGGTTGACCCACCAACCCCCACCGTGGACTGTTACTCGGCAGTAAGAGGCAGGAACTATTGACAAATCCAACACCAAAGAAGAGTCTCAAGGGAACCATGCTGAATGAAAAACAGCAATCCCCAAAGTTAGAGACGGTAGGATTACATTTATATAAATCTTAAAAATGACCAATTAGGGTGGAGGGGGGTACAGGGAGGGAGGGGAAAAATGAGCTGATATCAAGGGCTCAAGTAGAAAGCAGGTGTTTTGAGAATGATGGCCACATATGTACAAATGTGCTGGACACAATTGATGTATGGATCATGAAAAGAGTTGCATGAGCCCCTAATAAAATGATTAAAAAATAAATAAAAACTAAAAAAAAAGGACCAATTACAGAGCTGGAGAAGAGATGAATGGTGGAGAGGTGAGGAAAATGGATGTGCTTATCACGGGCAATAAGGGGTCTTTGTGGCAATGAACTACTTTCTCTCTTGACTGCTGGCTACATGAGCTTCCCACATGTGATCAAGTTCCACAGAACACTGACAAAAACTCAAGGAGAACTAGTAAACCAGTGCATCAGAGTAGGATACAAAAGAATGTATGTCGATAGCCTGGTTGTGATAGATTTGCAAAATGCTTCAGTTGTGGCTTATTTCTTATAATTGCTTATCAATCTATATCTAAAAATGAAAAATGTAGACCAAAAAAAGTCCGTTTGCCCATCTATCAGTCGTCCACTAGGCTGGTCCCTAATTCCAGGAAAAGGCAGACCTCCTCAGCAACAGGAGCTTTGGTGAGACAGCCGGTTCAAAACCCATCAGAAGGCGGACAAAGATAGAGGCCGCCCTGGGGGCTGGGAGCCCTGTCTGCTTTCAGACTGCTCTGGGTGCTCCTGACTGAGCACCCACTTCCCACTCAAGCTGTTCCATGCCTCCCAAACCTGCTCAGGCCTCAAGGACACGATCTCAGACTCCCCAAACCAAGAAAAGTGTGTTTGAGCGGCAGGCAGCCATTTCTCTGGGTCAGGTGAACAAGCAAGGGGCGTGCAGTCAGAACCACCCTGTCACACCCACTGTGTGAAGATGGGCAGCCCTACTCGGGCATAGCAGCTCCTCAGTCACAGCTGGGTTTTGTGTTTTTGTCATTTAAGCTACAGTGACCCTGTGAGGTGGGGATATATTTTTCCCCTGTTTACAGATGTGGCACACAGGGCTCAGGGAGGTTAACTACCTTGGGAGATGTGTAGCTATGTCTACTCTACAGAGCCTATGGCCCTGCTGGGGACAGGGCTCCAAGAGTGGTGGTTTTGCTGATCACTGGGCTGCACAGCATCCTGGGGCAAGCTGCTGGAGGAGGGGTATAAATGGAAGGCAGACTGGTTTCCAGGCCTGGCTTCTCCTCAGATGAAAATTCCCCTTGTCTGATCAGCAAGAACACAGCCCTTCATACTAACAGAGCATGCATGTACTGTCGCACACTCTCCCCACCTGCCTCCACTCCTCTAGGTCCCCCTCCCCTATGGTACCTCCCATTGCCATTACTTGGGGATGGGGTGAGGGGTGTCCCAGGCCTGAAATCCCTTCTCTCCATTCGTGTCAATTCTTGAAGGTGGGGGTGGAGAGGGTGTCCATACCTGACAAACCTCACCTAGAAGGCTTACCAGCTGTCTGACTGCGGCTTCTTCCTTGTACAAAGGAAGGGGTTACACAGGCTGCATCCCAGAAGCTAAAGGTGCTAAAGCCAGGCCTGGAGCTGGCGTGGTTCCCAACTGGGCTGAGCGCTGTCATTCTGCTGCCTCCGGCCAGCTCAGGGCAGCTCCCCAAGGCAGCTCTCAGAAGCTAGTGGCTGTCCGTGTGTGCAGCAGTCAGGACTCCCTGAGGCCTCTCTGGAAATGTTTGGTCTAAACATCCGTAAGGAAGTGGGATTTCTGCCCAGCCTCGTAACAGAGACGCTTTTTATTAAAAATGTGTTATTTGTAAAGGAAGAAAACTCAGTAAGGGGCTGCAGTTGTTTGGGGGGTGGGGGTGAGAGACATGAATTAATCTCATCCTGGAAGAGGCTATGGATGACCCAGGCCGGGTCCTTGAACCCCCAGGTCTCCATGTCCCCCACCTGTGGGGTAGAACTGAGCTGGGGCCAGAGTACTGAGCCTTCAGTTTCTTGCTCCAGACAGTGGCTGAGGTGCAAGCCCTGGCAGAGGCAGCCAGTCATTAGCAGGAAGGTGAACCTGGGAGAGGCCAAGCCAGACGTGATAAGAGGAAATGTGAACTTATCTTGGATTCTCTATGTCTCTGGGGTCTAGGCCACAGCCAGATAAATGTGTAACTAGCAGAGAACATCCCGGGGCCTTAGGGTTCCCTGAGCAGCAGGCAATGAGCAAGATCCTCTGCCTCTGGCCTTCAGGGCATGGTGTACAGGACAGTGCTCACTATGGGACTGTCCACCCAGACAGGCCAAGACCTTGACCTCTCACCTCCCCCGACTGTATCCCTGACACTCTGGGGCCCCGCACAATGTGGCTGTTGTCTGCAAGGCTCTGATCAACCACTCACTTTCACACCCAGAGCACCACGTGAAGCCTCTCCACACACCATCTCACCAGCTTCCCTGTGGATGGCTGCACATGTGGGGCAGGCTGGAGGAACTCTGTCTGTCTTGGCACAGAGGGTCACAGTCCAGGCTCAGGGCAGTACCCCAGGCAGGCTGAACAAAGGAAGGAACCTCACTATTGTTCACCCTAAACATCTCAGCTGTCAAAATTCAAGACCGTCTGGTCAACATGATGGTCAACTCACCACCTCAGTATCCAAAGTTCTAGTCTACCTCCCACACTCTGAGCCCTGCATGCTGCTCCCACCCACCCGGCTCATCAGCCTCATCTCTCGCCCTCACAGCATGCTCTCCCTCCCCCACAGCTTCATTGCACCACATGCACCACACCCACAACACCACACTCTCAAACACCCGAGTGTCTGCACATGCACATGCTTCCCGGGGCCTATGAGCTACTCATCCCACCCACCGCTGTTCCTCCTGGCACAGGCAGCATCTGCCCCTGTCCCACCCACCGCTGTTCCTCCTGGCCCAGGCAGCATCTGCCCCTCTCCGCCTCCCTCTGAGGATCAGCTGGAGCATCAGGCTGTGACCATGTGCCCGGAA